AAGTGGTGGCAGTGGCAGCTAACTAAGGTGAAGAATTTCTTTCCACAGCTTAACCAGAGCAGTTACTTCCATTTATAGATAAGTCTAAATCTTGTGAAAATTTTACAGCTATTTTTTTTTTCCTTTTTGTCTTTTTTACTGACCGGCAATGGGATCGCAACCCTCGGTGTTGCGCCCGCACTGCGCTCAGCCAGTGAGCGGGAACCGGTCTGTATGTGGGATCCGAACCCTCGGGCGGGAGCGCCGCCGCGCTTCCCAAGCGGCGCACTATCCAGTGCGCCACCGGGCCGGCCCAAGAGCACAGATGTCTTAAAAAACAACTATTTATCATGAGAGGAAAAGATTTTTTAATTGCAAGGAGATAGCTAATTTACTTGAGATCACAAAATAAAATTAATTTAGCTGTTTTACTATTCAAGTCAACAAAAGAGCAGCAAATTGAACCCAAAGTGACTGTGGTGGAATATGAGATGCAATCAAAGAAAGTACATATTCTAGATGTCTGCAGAGTAAGTGGACGTTTTATGGCTTTGTAATTTGGCAAGCCTTTGAGAAAACCTCCATTTCAGTGTTCCCTTTGATTATGCACTCCCCCAGCACTTTGGAGAAATCAGTTGATTTACCTCCATGAAGCCACAGGATGGTCTCACAAAATATTCTAGATGTCTGCAGAGTAAGTGGACGTTTTATGGCTTTGTAATTTGGCAAGCCTTTGAGAAAACCTCCATTTCAGTCTTCCCTTTGATTATGCCCCAGCACTTTGGAGAAATCAGTTGATTTACCTCCATGAAGCCACAGGATGGTCTCACAAATCTGCCTCTTGCCATCCCACATTCCTGGGTCAGATCAGGGTTTGGCTTGGGTGGGGAATGGGACTGAGCCCCACACATTCATTTCCTAATTACCCACCCGCAGATTCACCAAACCTCTGTTGGTTTCCTCCAGCACCCTGACATACTCAAGGTCCCCACTCCTACCACCAACTGGAGCCCTCTTGAGAAAAGTCACGTTTACATTAGCCTAACCACAAACCAAATGAACCAAAACAAAACTCCAGGATGAAAAAAAAAACACACATCATACAACCTCAAACCAAACAACTTCTGGATTAGCTGCTCTCTTTAATTATCCATAAAAAGGCGCCACTCCACTGAATGGGTGGAACTTGAGAGCTGCCCACAGTTGTGGGTTGAACCTGAAAGAGTGAATTTTCGGCAGTCTTACTCGGGTCGGATGGGCTTGGTCACTTACTGGTAAGTGCAGCAAAGTGGCTGAGTCCACATCGAATGCGGGAAACCTGGACTTCTGGATTGAACTCCGTCAAGCCAAAGAGAGTGGGTGGAATCATTTCTGGAAGAGCAGTTTCCACTAGGTTTGGTCCTTTCCCAAGAATTCCATAGCCCCAGACAAAAACATGTCCTTTTCCTACATTACAATAAAAACAATGGTCAGTAAGTCAAACCAAATAGAGCCCTCCCTCACCAGAAATTCAAACTGCACCACCAAGATTCATTACATCTGCATGGATTTTTTTTTTTTTTTCCTTACTTGGCAAGAATATACTGACAGATTTAAAATAATTCTTCTCTCTCCCCTGCTTCAATTCTTGCTTGTGGAGTCTGTCTAGCCAGCTAACTAATCTCAGAATGCAAACTTCCCACATCTTGAGGGAATCCTGGAAAGGACCAGTCCACAAATCACCCAGAAAACCCACGTGAACACAGGAGAACTTGAGGACAGTTTTCCCCTACTGACAGCTCTAAGTTTCACACTGATCAGAAGACCAAGCCAGGTAAACAATTTCTGGCCAAATTCTTAAAACTCTTAATTTTTTGGTTATAAAGTTTACTACTCATCAGTGCTGACAGGCAGTTAATCCCAGCGGCATGGGTCTTGGTATCCAAACTCTAGGGCCCTTCTCCCATAAGCCTTTTATTTCTTGTCTGGAGAAGGCAGAGCTGGGGTCTTGGCCCAGGCCAAGGGAGGGGAATAAAGTAGTTTATTCTCCCCTCCAAAGATGTGCTACAGAATAACAAAGCTCTGTTGCTGTCTGTCTACGAATAAATCATGGGCTGTTATCTTTCTGTCAAGTACGTCACCCTCACCCCATGATAACTGAACTCAATCTAGACCTCCCCATGGCCACATTCCCTCCCTTAGGCTGAGGTCTGCAGCTTGTGAATCCTATGGACACTAACCTACGGCTTCCCGATGAGCTACCTGGAAGGGGTTCTTACCATTTAACACCGCACAGCCTGTACCACCACACGCAGCTTCTTTTACCTTGCCCACTGCTGAGAAGGGTAAGCACCGGGGGACGTTCACCTGGAGCAAAGAAAGAGTCTGCACTGTTAGGAAAACAAACCGTGGGAACCAGGAAGTATGTACACAGTAGAGAAGACCCAGTTCCTTCATTCACTCCGCAGACATCTCCTGAACATCTAACATATGCTAGGCATCATAATTAGATGCTGTGGATACAATGGGGGGAGCAAGAGACCCGGTTCCCACCCTCAAAGATTTCAAGTCTAGCAGAGGAAGCAGATGTCAACCAAAATTAATGTACAATTACATTTGTGCTAAATGCAATGAAGGAGAGTACAGGGGCCTCTGAGTGTACGACACAGAACTTGACCTAGAGTGGGGGGAGGAGTAGTCAGGGGAAGGCTGCAATTTGTCCTGAGAGCTGAAGGATATGTAGGCATGAAAGAGGTGAGGGGAGAACACTCCCAGTAGAGGAGACAGCATGTGCAAAGGGAATGAGGTGAGCACGCACATCTAAGGAGCTCAAAGTAGGTCAGGGTGGCTGAAGCAGGGAAACGGAGGAAGATGGTACGAGATGAGAGTGGGGAGAAGGAAGAGCAGATCACCCAGGGTGTTGTAGGCCGCAATAAGGATTTGGTCTTTATCTGGGCATGATAGGAAGCCTGTAAAGGTCCCAAGCAGGGCAGAGATGTGATTTCTGGCATCGTGAGTGATGTGGGCAGGGACGAGCATGTGTTCCCTTGGACATACTGAACGTGCAGCGCCTAAAGACAGCCAAGCGGAAATGCCAAGTGGCACTCAGAGATGTCTGGAACTCCAAAGAGAAGTCGGGGCCTAAGATGTAATTTGGAGAGTTATTAGTAGATGGTCACTGAAGCCACAGATGTAAGATCTTCTCAAGGGAAAAGGAGAGCAAAGCCCATGCCCCGATGATCTTCAACACATAACGGCCTGGCAGAAGAGGAAGACTGGGGAATGAAACCGAGAAGGAATAAGGAGAAAGGCAAGAGAGCATGAAAAGACAGTGGTCACATGGTAAAAGGAAGAGTGTTTTCACGAAGACTGTCAGCATGTCATGGTCAGTGTCAGATGCTGCTCAGAGGGTGAGAAAGATGAAGAATGGAAAATGTTCTCTAGATGCTTTATTATTTTTTTTAGCAATGTGGAAGTCACTGGTAACCCCAGCAAAAGCCATTCAGCAGACTAAGGGCAGAAGCTAAGTAGGATGGGCTGGAGAATAAACAGGACATGAGGAAATGGAGACAGTAAGTAAACACAGTTCCCGAGAAGTCTGGCTTAGAAGGGAAAGCCAGAGACAAAGCAAAGGGATGGGGGAAGGAGTCCAGATGAGGCTTTTTAAGATTAGAGACGCATGGTCAGGTGTACAGACTGATGAAGAGAAACTGGCAGAGAGGGAGAGTGGAAATTACAGGAGGGAAGGCCCAGCAGATGGAGTAAGGGTTCTGAGAAGGTGGGAGGAGATGGGTCCAGGGCAGAGAGAGAAGAGCTAACTTCAAAAGGAAGCCTCTTCTTGTGTGTACCTCTTCCATGTTACAGAAGGGAACGTGCACAGGCAGGATGGATACACACACAGATGAGTGTGCAGGAGTCACAGGGCAACACTGAGGGCATTCCCATCTGACAGTATCTGTTTTCTCTATTAAACAGGAGGCAAGATCTTCTGCTGAGAGTGAGAGATGGGAGGATCAGAGGTTTGCAGAGTGAAAAGTGTGGCCAACTGAGCTTCCCAGCAGGACGTGGTCTTGGCACTGCTACTGAGGAATAACTTTAAGGAAGACAGACTTTAAGTGCTTCAGTGACAGCCATGAATCTCTACAGATTCACTCTCAAAATGAGACAGCTGGAGGATAACAGTCCCTAAGTTGACTCAAAAGGAATAACGGGGCTTACTGATCCAGAAAATACTTCCCTCTATGAGGCTAGGCTGCCAGAGCTGAGATGTGGACTCTACTGCTGGGCTCTCAGAGAGTGTCTTCACTCAGCTGTGCTCTGGCGTAATGCCCTCAGCAGATGCTGGGAAGTGCTCTAGCAAACAGTGACTGAACACTCATCACTGCCATCATTGACAGGATGAGACACGGGCCACAATACAGAACCACTGTGGTGCCCAGTGATCCCCGCCTCCTGCTCCTCATGACCATATCTAAGCCCTAACACTTGTGCAGGTCTGTCTAGACCTAGTGACTTCTGCTAGCAAAGAGAATTCCAGCAAAAGCGAGGGTGTGTCACTTCCCAGGTTAAATTATAAAACACTGGCTTCTGTCTTAGGGAGCTCTCTTGCCCTCTCATCTGCTCGCCCTGATGGTGCCAGCTGCCATGTGTGAGCTGCCCCATGGAGAAGCCCACATGGCAAGGAACCAAGGAAGGCCTGGCCAACTGCCAGCGAGGAACTGGGACCTTGGTCCAACCATCCACGAGGGCCTGCATCTTGCCAGCAACAGCAGAGTGAGCTTAGAAGCAGATCCTTCCCCACGAGAAGCCTAGGGTGAGTGCAGCCTATGAGAGACTCAGAGCCAAAGGACCCAGCTAAGCCACCCCTAGACTCCCGACCCACCAAAACTGGGACATAATAAATTTGTGTTGTTTTGATCCATTAAGTTTTGGGGTCATCTGTTATCCAGCAATAGATAACAATGACATGACACTGGATCTGCCTCCCACAGGAATGCCATGGGAGACACTCTTCTCAGGCCTTGGTATCAGGAACAGCAGTACTTCTCCTGAACACCTTATTTGCTGTTTATCTTATAGACAATGAATCATTTAAATGACCATGTTTTCTTCTTTGCTTTGACTACTAGAGAGCTCAGAGCCAAATCTGCAACCACCTATAACCACTGTGCTAGACCACAGAGAAGGCATTTTTCCATCTTATTAGCAGACCTTTAGTTTCCTTTTGTGTAGATTTCTTTATATATTAATATGTATTTGAAACCCTCTGTATGTTGTCAGAAATCTGATCATATTAAGGAATGAAGTATGTTTCCTAAATAGTCCTTATCTTTTAACATACTGCAACTTTAATGGATGAAATACAATGTCCAGGATTTGCTTCAAAATAATCCAGGGCAGAGAAGTAGATGGAATCATAGATGCAACAAAATTGGCTGTTAGCAGTATAGGGTGATGAAAATGTTCTGAAATTAGGTAGTGGTGACAGCTGCGCAGCCTTGTGAGTATACTAAAAACCACTAAATTGTACACTTTTTTTTTTTTTTTTAAAGATGACCGGTAAGGGGATCTTAACCCTTGACTTGGTGTTGTCAGCACCACGCTCACCCAGTGAGCAAACGGCCATCCCTATATGGGATCTGAACCCGTGGCCTTGGTGTTATCAGCACCGCACTCTCCCGAGTGAGCCACGGGCCGGCCCTAAATTGTACACTTTTAAATGGTGAATCACGGTATGTGAATTATATCTCCATTAAAAAAAATTGGCCATTAGTTGGTAACTGTTGAACATGGATGAAGGGTAGAAAGGGATGAGTTCTACACAACAATCTCTACTTGCTTATATTTGAAATTTTCTCTAATGAAATACTGAAAATCCTACTACACTGTATTGACAGTGGCTCCCTTCGGTGAAAAGGAGGAAGTAGTAAAAGGAAAGGCCACAAGGCAGGGCTCTGAGCTGCTGCTAGTGTCCCACTGCTTGATCTGGTGGGGTCACACGGGTGTCTTCACTTAAGATCTGTGTGCCTTTTGGCATATATGTTATGCTGCAACAAAAAGCATACTATGACATCAAAAGGGCTTACGCAAACAGTCTCATATCCCTTTTAGAACAAGATGGGGTATACAGGCATACCTAAAATGCTGATCTAAACCAGGGCTATCTCATCTAAGTATGGATAACAATGGCCTTTGGACCTAAGCTTCTTTCCAGGCTCCAATGAGATCCCCTTGAAGAGACAGTTTTACAATAGGTTAGACCTAAACAGCACTTTACATGTCACAGCTTGGTGAAGAGTCTCTTAAAAATGTCCTTAACACTTTGTGTTTCCAAACCTCCCAGCACCAGGCCGTGGGTGACCTTATACCTGTGTGGAGTCTGTGACAGAGGCCAGCTGCAGGTACTCAGAGTTTCCCCAACCAAAGAGGCCTCCATCAGCAGACACAGCCAGACAGCAATCTCCGTAGGTGGTGACCTGGACCACGCTCACTCCAGCAAGGTCTCCACCCAGCTTGGTGGGTTCACTGGTGATATTGTAGTGACCCAGACCTAACACAATGGAAAATACTTACTTTTAATTACTCAATCTTTTAACAAACATTTACACAGAATTATTATATACCGAACACAGTTTTAAGCACTTAATAAACAACTCAGAGGGCCGGCCCGGTGGCGCACTGGATAGTGCGCCGCTTGGGAAGCGCGGCGGCGCTCCCGCCCGAGGGTTCGGATCACACGCACCCAAAAAAAGCTAGTAGGGAAACTTGCCAGAATTTGAACCCAGATCTGCCAAAACTCCAAAGTCAGACCATAATTGTGTCTCCCAGTGTGTAAATATCTATCAAATACTTTGTGCACATGTGTGAACATGCCAAACTTTGAATGATTTAAGTATAACCTGTATTTTAATACTTAGGACAGCATCATAAAATTAATTTCTAAATGAATATTGAAATTTATCCAGTTTCTATGTTTAGCAATTGGTGTTAATTTACCTCTCATAAGTGCTAGAAAGGTTCTACAATACCTCCTCCAGCCCTTTTATACTATTCAAGCTTTTTATTAGCCCTAAAAAACCAACTCAGAAATCCTAATCTGTCCCTCTGCATTTTCATACAATTTCCTTCTCCATGTTCTCTCAGAGGAGGAAAAAGGACATCATTGTGATTGGTATATTTTTTAAACCCTTGGAATTTTCTAGGTCTGATTCAAGTTGAAAAACTTCACATGATGAAATACCACTATGCAATGAAGCTATCAGACTTTGCATAAATTATAACGAGCAATTTCTAATGCATTGCTGGGCTTGCTAGAAAATAAAGGAAATCTTTAAGAGCCCATCCCATCTTCCATACCACTCCTAAGAAACAGTAAACAGAAGCTGGTGTGGTTAACAATAAGCACAGGAAAAAATGGCACCTGCCCTAAGGGCAAATGTCAGTATCTGCACTGCAATGGTGGGTAATCCTTGGGCATCAAGCCAAGGCAGAACATTAGACCATAGACTCCTATTTAAACCAAGGTTCCTCAAAGGGGGGCCAAAGCAGTGTCAGGTTGGTAGCAGGCCTCACCAGGTTAGTAGCAGGCCTCACCAACAGGGAAAAGCAAATCCAAATCCCCTCAGGAGAAAAGATCTCTAGCTTAGATCCTTAGGGCTTCCACAAATTAAATTCAATAAAATATGAGTTCACAATCGAAAATTACTAAACACATAAGGAAAGGCACCACTATGAGTGAGTGTCAAAAGAACTAATGACCAACCAGTTTATACTCTCCAGACTTCAGACACTGGAATTATGATAAACAAAACAAAAAATAACTCTGTGTACAATGTTTACAGAAATAATATATTTCATAAGGGATTAATATCCAGAATATATAGAGAACACCTAAAACTCAACAACAAACTCCATCAAAAAATGGGCAAAGGACTTGAATAGACATCTCTCCCAAGAAGATATACAAATGTCCAATAAACACATAAAAAGATGCTCAAATTCACCAATCATTAGGAACATAGAAATCAGAGTATGAGATACCACTTCACACCCATTAGAATGGCTACTATCAAAAAAACCAGAAAATAACAAGTGTTGACAAGGATGTGGAGAAATTAGAACCCTTGTACACTGTTGATGGGAATGTAAAATGGTACAGCAGCTATGAAAAACAAGTATAGCGGTTCCTCAAAAATTTAAAAAGAATTACCACATGATGCAGCAATTCCACTTCTCGGTATATACTCAAAAGAACTGAAAGCAGGATCTCAAAGAGATATTTGTACACCCATGTTCATAACAGCATTATCCACAACAGCTGAAAGGCAGAAGTAATCCAAGTGTCCATCAACAAATGAACAGATAAGCAAAATGTGGTATATACATACAACAGAATACAATTCAAGTGTTTTTTTCCTTAAAAAGTTAAGAAATTATATGATTCAGCAATCCCACTCCCTGGTATTTACAACCAAATGAGTTGGAAACGTGTCCACACCAAAACTTGCCCACACGAACTAGCCAGTTAGCTCAGTTGGTTAGAGCATGGCGCTGACAACATCAAGCTCCAAGGTTTAATCCCTGTACTGGCCAGCTGACAATAAATAAATAAAACCTGCACACAGATGTTTATAGCAGCTTTACTCATAACTGTCAAAACGTGGAAGCAACCAAGACACCTTTCAGCAGGTAAATAAATTGTGGCATGTCCAGACATGGAGTATTGTTTAGTGCTAAAAAGGAAATGAGCAATCAAGCCATGAAAGGACATGGAAGAAACTGAAGTACATATTATCAAATGAAAGAAGTCTCTGGAAAAGCTACATATTGTATGATTCCAACTATATGACATTCTGGAAAAGGGAAAACTATGGAGACGTTAAAAAGGTCAGCAGTTGTCAGGGGGTGAGGGGTGGGATGGGGATGAACAGATGGAACACAGAGGATTTTTAGCGCCATGAAACTATGGTATGATGAAACTATAGTATGATACTATAATGGAGGATACATGTCATTATACATTTGTCCAAGCCCATAGAACGTACAACACCAATAATGAACCCTACTGTTAACTGCAGACTTTGGGTGATAATGCTGTGTCAACGCAGGTTCATTAATTGTAACAAATGTAGCACTCTGGTGGGAGATGTTGATAATGGGGGAGGCTTTGAACTTGTGGGGACAGGAGATATATGGGAAATCTGTGTACTCATACCTTCTGCTCAATTTTGCTATGAACTTAAAACTGCTCTAAAAAATAAAATCTATTTTTAAAAAAGGGATGAAAATTCAGACATATGCTACAATATAGAATAACTTTGAGGACTTTACAATTCTACTTACATGAGGTACCTACAGTAGTCAAACCCATAAAGATAGAAAGCAGGCTGCCACTTAGCTCAGTTGGTTAGAGAGCAGCCTTATAACACCAAGGTCACAGGTTCAGATCCCCATACTGTTCAGCCACCAAAAAGAAAAGAAAGAGATAGTAGAATGGTGGTTGCTAAGGCCTGGGAGGAAGGGAAATGAGGAGTTACAGAGTTTCAGTTTTGCAAAATCAAAGAGTCTTGGAGATGGATGTTGGTGATGGATGCACAACATGAATGTACTTAATGCCACTGAACTGTACACCTATAAATGGTTAAGATGGTAAATTTTATATTATGTGTATTTTACCACAAAAATTTTTTTTTTTTTAATGAAGGAAAAAAAGCTACAACAGGTTACAGGCTGGATTAGGCCACTCTGGTTGTAGAGGGAAAAAATATGAATGAACTACAGATACATATAACATGGCTGAACCTTAAGAAACATAATGTTACATAATATGACCCCTAAAATAACCACAACTAACCAATACAGGAGGGAGGGAGAGAGGGAGAGGGAGACGGAG